TGTCCCTACGGGCAGGGCGTATCATACTTTTGTAGTTGGGTGACACCCAGAGCAGCAAGGGTGGCTAACTCTATTGGTCATTTCCTTGTCAGCGACGGCCGGAAGGTGTCTGAGTTGGTAGCGCATCCATATTAGACAAAGAGGTTACCCCTAACTCATTTAAGTCGGTGCATTTCTTATATAATGTGAGTACCGTGAACTTTTTCTAGAGTTGTTTCCTTGGAGGTATTCTAGACTAGAGTATGCATCAACAAGGACATTGATCTTCCCTAGGGGGGGAGAGTGTCGCAAATGTGACTTTGGGTATCGAAAGTTACTTGTTGGCTAGCCCTTATGGACACTCTTTCCTTACTGCTATGACGGCAGGAGGTCGGTATTGTTGGACCTGTTATCAGTCTCCACCTGAGTTAGTTGAGAAACTGATCTTCGTGTGTGCACTTGACCAGATGGGCATAAGGACGGAATTCCTAAGTGCTACTAGTCAAACATACTTGACCTGGTTAGAGAAACTCATTTGTTGACTTGCACTTGCTAGTGTTGGGAACCCCGTGATATTGAGCTTGGTCCCTCAATATTTGCTAAATGATAGCTTACCGTGTCTGCCAAACACCCTTGCTATCATGCCTTTTGTGCTAGTCTCATTTCGGTCCCAAATACTATTTATGGAAAGTGTCCAGATTTGCTCATTTGGCATATCTACAGAATGTAGAGATCGACTTGAACACAATGGTGTTCGTCCCATGTCCAAATTCGCAATCTAGCACCATTCCCTATTTAGTAAGTTTCGAGCTTGTCCTAGAGACTAACTCCTGATACTAAAGGAGGCTTGGGGTGAAAGCCCAAAATGTGTGTTCCTCAGGGGGGCGGGGGGGGGGGGGGGGCGGGCTATGGGGGGTTCCAAATGTATAGTAGGGATAGTGGGTAGATCGGGTATAGCTGACTAACCTGAGGTATAGTCTAGCTCCCGCTTGCATGCATGTCCTTGTTTTGTGTCCGGCTTGGGTCTAAGCCCAAGTTCCATTCCATGCTAGTTGGTGGAGTACCCATGTCGTTGGTATGTTGAAATAGCACTAAACTCCGTTTGGCTCCGTGTTATGTGCTAGTCCTGGCATTGGGATGTTGGATACTCTAGGCCTGTTCCAAGTTGCTCCGGCCTCTTGTCCTTTCGCTCCTTGGGCTGTATGCTCAGGAATTACTCTGTGGTCCGGTTCCATCACTCTTTGGCTCCATGCTTGGGAGTTTGGCACCATTCCTTCGTTCAGTGGCCCAAGGCCCTGAACCTTGGGTTCCACACCACTGTCCTATGGACACGTGGCATGTGACACATGGCATATGGAGGGTTTCGCTTTGTGGTGTTATCCTATAGTAACTCACCATAGGATAAAGGGTAAAAACCACGTGTGCTATAGTTGGTATCAAAGCAAATGGTTCGAAGGATCCACGGTAATAGTATATCCAAATCTCATCTTATGATCACATGCGCTATACTCACCCAACCCCCCCCCCCCCCCCCCCCTTTTAAAAAAGTTAATGGCCCCATTGACTATTGACTAAAAACCCCTACTGAGCCAAAGGGAATCAGCATCTCCATTTTCGCACTAAATTTACCAATCCTTCCATTATGTAGACTAGTTATTCCATGTGAGGCAACTAGTCATCCACCCATACCACAGTCCCATGGTGAATACCTTTGTCTATGGATACTCCACACAAAAGGAAAGACATATGCATGGATGCCCAATATGTACAATTTCAAATTTAGGGGTAAGAATATACCTTGCTCAAGGGTATATTATATTTTTAAGTAACCACTAATCAATGCGAATAGAATTTGCTCCGATACCAACTATAACACACTTTATCTCTTTCTTTTTAAACCAACTAGAAAAGGGGCAATTATTTGATGAGAGAGCCCTTAGTGGCTATTTTTTCCCCATTTATCCCCTAAGGTTCTAAGGATCCATAGTGACAGTATATCCAAATCTCATTTTATGATCACATGTGCTACAAGCTCTTTTGGAAAATCAAATGGTCAATGCTCCCAATCCAAGTGTGGGTGGCACTACCTACTTAGATACTTGGCATGGCTCTTTAAAACTTTGCTTTACCCACATAGCTAGGACACCTAAAGGTGGAAGGTGGGGAGAGTACCTATGATGCTCACGTAGGGCCATGATATTTCAAAATGTCATCCCAAAGTTCTAGACTGTGGAAAGGAAAAAGAGTAGTCCTCTTGTGTAGTGACTAAGGATATGGTGATATAGTAAGGAAGTCCCAGAAGTCAGTGGGACTTAATGGTCAAACCTTTAAGCCCTTGACCAAGTGATAGTGTTAACAAGCACGATCGTGGATGGAGGGGGATTTAGTGGGAATTGAAGAAGGGACATTAGGGAAGGGTGTTCCCTATGTCTCTTGGCATCCTAAAGATGCTAAGGTGTGGTCATAAAATGACCACTCATGGATAGATAGCCCAGTCTTTGAGAGACAGAACTATGGCATAGGTGGTCTTAAACTACCAATAAGACAAGGATAAATGGATATGGCATTAGCGTAACGGGCTAATATGTTAGTGGTACTCTAAAGTGTCTATCATGGGATCAGACACATGGAGCACTTAGACTAATTGCAAAAGTTAATTGACATAAATGCCATTAATAAGGCTAATATATCCCAAAGTTAGGAATAAAACTTATGGAAGTTATAAGTGAGACTCCTCCAAGTGGTCAAAAATATGGTTAAGTGACTAAAGTAAAATGGAAAATTTAATCATTTACATTACTAGAGAAAAAGGCATTGCCCATGTTTTCCCCTCATTACTCCTTATCCTAGTTAAGGTACAAATTTCAAGTAATCTACAAAAACTCCTTAAAATCTTGGGGGGCTACATAGTGTATAGGAAATACTCAAAACATGTCTAGGCCCACCCAACTCCTCTTCCTAATTATAATTTGCACCATGCTCCACCCACATTCTACTTTATGGGCTTGCATTATGTAGCTTTTTCGATTTCCTACATACCAAGAGATTGTCATCAAGAGCTTTATATTCTCTTCCACTAGTGAAGTTGTTGGAGCCATGGTCTTCATTACACTCCATGCCACAAGTATGCTCTAATCACTCAAGGACAGGCACACTATTCATAAATGGATCATGGACTTAGAGATCAAGCCAAAGCTGACACAGTATTAACATTGTAGCTCTTGCCCACAAGGAGCTATACAATTTGGAGAGTCTTGATCATCGCCACATCAAGGTGGAAAGCTAGAGGAAGATCTTAATCCATCTTTTGGGAGGAGCTCCATAAAAATTGGATTGGTTGATTGCACTCAACTTCTCTAGGCATTTAGTTATGGCAGGGCTGTCATGGTTTAAAGAGAGCCAAGGAAGTTCATTATTTGGGTTAAATATAATAGCTTGAGTTCATGTCACAAGGTGCAAATCAATTAAGAGGAAGAGCTTCATTAGGTTGATCAATTGTATTTATAGAGCATCCTGATAAGTGGGTGCACAAGCTAGGCAAACTTTTTATTTATTTCAAAAGTAATAAAGGAAAGGTAGGCTTTTTTTCATTTCCTTTTGTGAAAGATATATTTTTCTGTTGAAGAGCATATATATTCAAGTTAAAATAGGAAGCTTGCATTACTAAATAAAGGAAAATGGTGAAGGCACTTGGTGTAGCACAATAACAAAAACTAAAGGTAATCTTGCAACAACTCAAATGTTTTGTAGAGAAATTGGTGAAGAAAGGTCAAGACAGTTCTATCTTTAAACCAATACTAAAGAGGTATGTGTGCTCAAGCTTAAATCACTTGATAATGTCCTAATTTTTTTTTTTTTATAAGATCACAATGACATTCTAGAGAGTCAAAGCAAGTGGTGCCAATATAGATAGACTCATTACTAATAGTCTTGCCTTTGTTGCAAAAGTGGCTTAAAAAATTGATGGATATAAGATTAATAATATATATAGATTGAACATGAGATCTCTATAGTTCTAGTTTTAAATGACAGTTTCTATATAATAATTTACAAAGAAAATTCATAGAATTTGACCCCAATGGAAATACCGTTCATATAGTGATTAAAGCTTAAAATCAATTGATCAACTATAAAACTTTTTTTTCTGCAAAAATATCCTATACTGAAATATCAATTGACTGAGCTGAAATCCCCAATGATATGGCATTGGATTATCTTATTGTGGCATGCAAAAGAGCATCACCATGCATGACTATGGCTAAAGAAAACTTTTAAATTTTCTTACATTTACATGTGTTTATTAAGATTTAATGTGTACCATCTATGCAAGCCTATAGCCCCAGCTAAAACTACTACCACTCCAAGTTCTAGAAAGGTTTGGCTTTGGAGAGTCTATCAGCACATTCAAACCTCCAAATTGCAAAGCTACCCAACCATATTTTTTAATTTTTATGATGATTAAGGGGTTTTGCACCATTATGAATTTAATAGTAAAGTGCTATTACACTAAATTTTATAACCTCTAATTTAATATTTTAACTTCATTAAATTAGGCTAATTTTAGTCCTTTCTATTTCTATTTTGAAAAAATATTAAGAATATTCTGTAAAGTATCTAGTTTCCACCAAATTAGCTCAAACAACAACAATAAATTAATTGCGTGGTGGCCTTTTGAATTCAAGGCATAGATTAATTCAATCAATTAATTTGCCAAGCAATAGGGAGCTGTGAAGAAAGAAAATTCACTAGGAGGAGGAGCTGTAAATTAAATTAGTTTATTTAATGGGTATGATTCATAATTATTTTATTTTATTTTATCTGCTGATGTGAAAAAATAACATTATGCTAAAATCTTCTAATTTAAAATTTTAATTTAACCGAGTAGTATTTGCAAACAAAAAAACGTGTCACTGGAATTGGCTGAGGTGGCAGGCTCTATTATGTCCACGTGTTTTATATTTGTCGTGGTACCTGAAAAGAACACCATCGGGCGAGGTGAAAACACACAGGATTCCCTGGTATTCATTTAACCTTGTCACCTCTTTGTGGGCTCCAAGGGTTTTTTCTCTCTCTCTCTCTCTCTCTCTCTCTCCCCTGGCTTCTTGTGGTGCCGAGGAGCTTTCCCTGGAGAATCCCAGTCGATCTGCCGCTACAGCCGCGTTGCACACCCAAATTCTGGGTATGAGCATTGGTTTCGGTGGGATTCAGTGGCCGGATTGAGCAGCCAGCTATGGCGATCGCCTTGGGGCGTCACAGATTTCCCATGCTGGCCACGCAGCCGCGGATATTTCACAGATCGGCGGCCAAAAGATTGGCTGCCAGCGGTCTCTGGAGCCAGCGGCCGCGGATCAAGAGGATTTCCGTGAGATCTTCGACGCCGGCGCACAAAGACGCGATCGGTCATCACGAGAATGGGCTCGCATCGATCGATCCAGCTGCTGCTGCCGCCGCGGCTCAGATTGTGAAGCATTACGATCGAAGCAAGCGCCTGGAGGAACGCATCGAAAGGGTAAGAAAGATATTTAGGAACTCTAGTTTTCATTGGTAGTTTTGTTTATCTCTCTTTTGGAATTTTTTTCAGGCAATTTTTGATTGCAGATTCCTCACACTGTTCGGAGTGATTGGTTCTTTAGCAGGCTCATTGCTGTGTTTTGTCAAGGTAAATCAGATCTTACTCTTCCATTGACAATTTTTCTTAGTTTTGGTTCCTATGCTCAAAACTTTTGCTTGGTTTTGCTTTGTGACAGGGTTCTTTGTTCGTGTTGAGGTCGTTTATAGAGTATTTCAATGCAATCTGGCAAGGAGTTGACACCGAGGTTATACTTTTGCTGGTGGAAGCTGTAGGTACGATGGAGATCTAAAATCTAGATTGAGATCAAACAGTGCTCAACTTAATTTTGATCTTTGCAGACATTTATCTCATGGGGACTGTGATGCTCATCTTCGGGATGGGCTTGTACGAGTTGTTTGTGAGCACGCTCGACATTCCAGAAGAGAACCTCCCGGCTGGAGTCCCCAGAACTACTGTTTGCGGCTCCAACTTGTTTGGGCTTTTCAGGCTCCAGGTGACTTTGCTAAAACCTCTCTTTTCGAAAGTTTGTGAATCATATCTTTCACTCAGGAGCGCCCGAAGTGGCTGGAAATTCGATCCCTGGACGAGCTCAAGACGAAACTGGGACATGTTATCGTCATGATCCTTCTGGTTGGCATGTTTGACAAGAGCAAGAAGATCGTCATCCACACAGCCTTGGATCTCGTGTGTCTCTCGGCCTCCATTCTTTTCTCATCGGGCTGCCTCTTCCTCCTCTCTAAATTACACAAGTAATAGGGGTGCGATCTACAAACCATTGTTTATCACCACAAACGTTGGTTAAATACACTTTCTATTTGACCTAGTTTTTTCGCGCCGAGTTTTGAATTTAGGGATGGGATGGAGCGATGGATGGAGCTACTAGGATTGCTCCGGCGGGATGGCGGCGTGCGCCTAGCGGTGGATTGGGTCGATTCGGGGCATTCTTCGCAGCTTTGGATGCTGATCCCCGATCTTCTGGCGCGGGAGGTTGCGCTTCTGGACGGCATCCAGGCTCGCAAGTAGGGTTTTGTGTTTTCTGGATTCGTGGGTGAATTTTCTGTCATGGTTTGCAGCTGCCTGTGGATTGAAACACTGCCTAGCGCGATGCAAGCTGATGTGTTGGCCTTTGTTTACCTGCGATCCAATCGCTTTCGGCCCAACGATTTGCTGCTGCTTTCTAAGCGTCTGCTGGAGTGCGGTGAGAACTTGGATTTTTGGGTGCGACGAGCAGCACAGACTCTTCTCGAAAAATGCTCGCAGTCGTCGAATTCTAAAGGTGAGCTGGCAATCATTCCTTGAGCTTCTAGGTTCAGGACTTTTCCTTTTTAAACCAGAAGCATCAGACTTCGACGAGATTCCGGACTTTCTAAAGAAGCATATGGAACCTGAAAGCCACGAAGCAATGCTCAAAGAAGACGCGCAACAAGAATTCAATCCAGAAGACGAGGAAGACTACTGGAACTTGAAGTTATCAGATGATACCACTCCTGATCACGACTTGGAAAAAGAGGAAGACAGCATCAGGAATCGATCTAGCTGAGAAGGCCCTGGGGTTAGGAGAAATCTCTTCAGAACTTAACGACTTTCACACCGATGAGCAAGTCGGGTGCGTCACTGGGGGAAATGTAAGCGCTTGGCTGCAAATCTAAATCCAGGACAGCTTTTCAGGAGAGGATATAAATTATAAACATGGTTAGAATCGTATGGCCTGGTTCATGGCTTGGTCCCAAGGGTGCAGAGGCATGACACATGATGGAATTTTGTGGACACCTCCATTCTATCTCCTTGATTGTTGATCTGTTAATTTGTCTAAAGGTTCCTACAAGAAGCAAGAAGTGGGCCTTTATATGTGGTGATTTAGGTAAAGTTACATCTATAAGGTTGACATCACTTCTGTGTGTGATATAAGACCACAACTTCCAAGCTACTCAAGAGAGAATTGGAACATTCTTTCTTTTTAATATATATTTTATATTTCTGATCTTTTCTTATCCTCCTATATATGTCAGTCCTATTTTTGTATTATTTTTAAATATACAAGAATTATCAAGCTTAAAAGGAGTCCAGAAGACAAGAAGGCATCAGGGGGCCAATCCATAATACAGATTTTCTACCATCAGTAACTTAATTTTTCCGGTTTTTCATGGCAACAGATCATACAGTAGAGTGTTTAGCAATCTCGGTGGAGCGACTAGAGACCCTCTCTTATGCAGACTCAAACACGTACGCTCCTCTTCTACGAAGATGTGGGAGCAGCAAAGCTCTGGAACTGGGAAAGAGAATCCACAGGCACATTTGCAAGAGTGGGCACGAACGAGATACTTTCCTGGGGAATCTTCTTGTGGACATGTACGGACGGTGTACGAGAGTAGACGATGCCCGGGGAGTTTTCGACCGCATCAAGCGGAAGAATCGTTTCTCGTGGAATATCCTTGTGGGAGCATATACCCAGAACGGGCACCTAGAGCTTGCGAGGGAGGTGTTTGATTCTATGCCAGAGAGAGACGTCGTGTCATGGAATACCATGTTTGGTGCATATGCGCAGCACGGGAATATTCACGAGGCGAGGCTTTTGTTTGAAAATATGCCCTTTCATAATGTTGTATCTTGGAATGCCATGATACGGGCATATGCCCAGGGAGGGTATAGTGGTGACGCGGTTTGCTTGTTTCATTCGATGCAATTAGAAGGGTTTAAGCCAAACGAGATCACATTCATAGTTGTGATAGATGCTTGGGTTTCTTGGAAGGATTCTCAGCTGGACAATAAAACTCAAAGTTTGGAATCGTTGGTTATAGATAATGGGTTTCTTGCTGATGTTGCAGTTGGTAATGCTCTCATGAACCTCTACAGCAGATTTGAAAAATTTGACAAGGTTAATTTTGTGTTTGAAAAGATGGCAAAGCAAGATGTTGTGAGCTGGACTACATTGCTCTCAGCGTATGCCCGAAATGGACATCCAGAGAAAGCTCTCGTGTGTTTGCCCCTGATGGATTTGGAGGGTCATCATCCAGACAGTATAACTTGCATAACATTGTGCGAGGCTTGTGGAGAACTCGGTTCCTTGAAGCAATGCCTTGAGACTCAAGCAGTGATAGATGATGTTTCTAGTGACGTCAGATCAAATACAAAAGTTGGAAATGCTTTGGTCACAATGTACGGAAAATGTGGTGGAGTTGATCTTGCAAGTCAATCCTTTAATAAAATTCCCAGCAAGGACGTAATAAGCTGGACTGCCTTGATCACAGCCAATGCCATAAATGGGCATCCGCACAAAGCAATGAGAGTTTTCAAGCTGATGGATCTTGAGGGTTTTTGCGTGGACAAGGTTGCGTGGATTAGCATGATCGATGCTTGCACTTGTGCTTCCGCCATTTTTGAGGGGAGATTGATCCACTCGGCTCTAGTGTCGCGAGGAGGATCAATCGATCTCGAAGTATCCAATGCTCTCCTCAGCATGTACGCTAAATGCGGTAGCCTGAAAGATGCCGTGGCGATTCTAGACGTGATTCCTTCCCTGGACATTGTGGGATGGAACGCCATGATCACGGCATTTGCCCGGAGTGGGCATTACACCAAAACTATAGATTTCTATCGCCTCATGGCTCTGGAGGGATCTTCTCGACCAAACTCCATCACTTTTATCAGCGTCTTGAGTGCTTGCAGCCACAAAGGACTCGTCAAAGATGGAATATCCCATTTCACTTCGATGGTCTGGGACTATGGGATTGAACCTGTAATCGACCATTACTTGTGCATGGTTGATCTCTTGGGTCGAGGTGGCGAGCTTAGAGATGCCGAGGAGCTACTAAAGAATATGCCCGTCGTGCCCAACGAGGTGGCATGGCGGACGCTCTTGAGCGCCTGTGGAACAAATGGGGACATTGGACGGGGAAAGTCGGCAGTCAAGAGAATCGAGCGCGAGACCTCATCGTCTCTGGCAGGTCGCAGGCTCGAATCGCTGGAGAAGACCTTTAGTGCCGGTGGTCGCGGTTTCGAATCTAGGGACGGGAAAATGGCCGTGTCACATTTTCCTCAATGCCTTCTATCCTCCAACTAAGTTGTTCTCTAGGTTTCGAGTAGCAAGGCGCTGGGCGTGGCCATGGCGCTCACGGCGGGGACGAGCGCGGCGTGCTGCTCGGCGATGCCATCGTGCCTCCGCGAGGATTCGCAATGGTTCGGGGAGGAGCGCATGGCGTGGCCGAGATTTTTCAGAGGCAGCACAGGGATTAGGGGAAGGAGCACGAGCAGCACCGCTAGTAGCAGCAGATTTTGCGTGGTTTCGAGGATGGGAGGCGGTAGAAGGGGAGGAAGGAGTGGCGGTGGGAGAAGAGGTGGTCGAGGACGAAGGGGCAATAGGGGCGCGGAGACTGTGAGTGAGGATGATGGCCCAACGATGAATGAGCGCATCAGGTAACACTAGCGAATGCTTTCGATAGAATTTTTCTCCGGTGTGAGCCTCTTCTAAAACTCTTTCTTGCATTCCAGAGCTCCAATTCTTCGTCTTATTGGAGAGGACTCACAGCAGGTACCATAAATATTTTTTTAGAAGGTCCAATTTTTTTTTTTGATCATGGTTTTTCATGTTTAGATTGGGATTGTTCCAAGGGAGGATGCGTTTCAAAGGGCTGAACGATTAGAGCTTGATCTCGTGAGCTTTCTTTCCTTCTTATTTGGAGATTCTGACAATGTTTTCTCTTCTGTAGGTTCTTATTTCAGCTGACTCCGATCCACCGGTGGCCAAGTTGATGGATTACAGGTGAGAATGTTTCTGGCATTGCTGTCGAGACGAAAGTAACACAGCCAAATATTTACAGTGGATTCATTTGATGGCAGCAAATACAAGTACGAGCAGCAAAAGAAGAAAAGGGACCAGCAGAAAAAAGCAGCTGGTATTACGTTTTTTTACAGCATTGGGTGTACGTGTTGATCATCGCCGTTTTTCTGTTGTTTCTCTCCGCAGCTAGCAGAGTGGAGATCAAAGAATTGAAAATGAGGTAAGATGTCACGCTTCCTAAAACCATGGCTGTAGCTCTTACTTACACCCCCGTGTGCTACAGATATAACATCGATACCCACGACTACGAAGTTCGACTGAAGCAAGCGAAGAATTTCCTAAAAGATGGCGACAAGGTAACGTTTTTTCTCAGCGGCGTGATGACTTAGAATGGTTTTGCTTGCCTTGCCGCACAGGTGAAAGTGTTCATGCCTTTCAGAGGCCGAGAAGCCCAATTCAAGGATTTGGGCGTGAAGCTCCTAAGAAAATTCGAGGAAGACATTGGAGAGGTATGGAGCTTTCATTTTTGTTTCATATCCAGCACATAAGTTTCCGTTTCGTGCTCTCAGATGGGATCCCTGGAAAACAAACTAGCTGACGAAGGGAGAACAATGTACATGACGTTAGCACCCAACAAGATCCAGGCCTCCAAGTCGGAGAAATCCAAGCCGAGGCAATCCAAGGACGAGGAGGACGAAGAAATCGTGTCCGAGAGCGATGAGATTGCTGAGAGTGAAGAAGAAGAAGACGAAGAAAACGATGGCGATGATTCGGCCGAAGAAGAAATCCGCGAAGAACAGGCAACAGCGGCCACAGTCTCTTAAAGAGCTTTTTTTTTTGGTTCCTTGTTGTACAGGGCGATTAGTTTGTTTGAAAAGAGTATATTCCTTTGGCATCTTTTCGAAAATTGTAGCCGTTGGTAGAGGAGATTTTAGGGTTCTTGGAGGGCATGGCGTGGCGCTGCGGCGGATCTGTGGCGCTGGCGCGGGAATGCTACTGGTTGTAAGTTGCGGGAGGAGATCTTAGAGTAGGATTTGGGGGCCCGGCGATTGATCGAGCGATGCGAGCAGCGGCAGGGTTTGGGGAGTGATGGGTAGTGAAAGACTGGCAGGGAAGCGGCCTCCTCCGACTCCTCAGGCTGCGCAGAGGAGGAAGCTTGCGAATATCACGAATTTACAGTTCGTTGAAGAGAATCCTGTCAAAGTCGAGCTCCAACAGGTAGGCTGTGTGGGTGTGCTCAAAGGGAATAAAAAAATTCATGGGATGTTCTTGGCAGGACGTGGCGAAATTAAAGAGCCAAGTCGAAGCGCAGGCTGCTCACATCGAGAAGCTCGAGCTAGCTTTGGAGCAAAAGTCCGCCCAGAACGAGGAAATTATACAGCACTACTATCGGCAGTACAAGGTGAGGATTTCTTTCTTTCTCGCTCCTTTGTGTTCTATGCGATGAGTTTGTGTTCTAAGATTTTCTTTTTCTGTTTCCTTGACACAGGAGCTAGAGCAAGCACGACAAGAGGTTTGTTTGTCACACAAGCTCGAGATCCCAGAGACTAACTTTTGATTGTTTTGATAGATGAAACTCTTACAGCACGAGTACACACAAATGTGTAGCGTGTATAGGATAAGCAAGAGCGAACTCCAGGTACTCAAACACTCGTTTTTCTCTTCTTTCATAGCCCATCTTGCGAAACGAGCGTACTCGCCTTGCTTCAGAGCCAACTCGAGGAAGCCAACGAGCAAATCAGGCGGCTCACTGAGAAAGAAAACCAGCCTCAACGAAAGAAGTCCAAGTCGCCACTGCCACCGCCGCCGAGCATGCAAGCCAAGCCGACGAGAAAACGCAGATCCACCAGAGTGGTTTCCACCAAAGTCCAGAGCTACTGCCCGGCTTCGATCAAAGTGGAGGAGGAGCCGGAGCTGCCAGAGTT